GGCCCATGCCAGCGTCCTGCACACTCCCCTATTCCCAAAACAGCCCTGTGGTCTGCTCACTTCCTGTGTCTGGGCCCTCCTGGTTTTTTGTTTTTTGGGGTTTTTTTTAAATATATATATATATATATATATATATATATATATATATATATATTATTGATTTTTTTACAGAGAGAAAGAGAGAGGGATAGAGAGTTAGAAACATCGACCAGCTACCTCTTGCACACCCCCAATGGGGATGTGCCCAAAACCAAGGTACATGCCCTTGACCGGAATTGAACCTGGGACCGTTCAGTCCGGAGGCCAACGCTCTATCCACTGAGCCAAACCGGTTTCGGTCCTCCTGGCTTTCTTATTTCACCACCAGCCAAACACCAGCCAGGCCCCCCAGACCCCCCAGGCCCCCCAGACCCCCCAGGCCCTGGCGCACACCAGCCCTGGTCAGCTCTACTGCTGGGCTGCTGTCCCGAACAAGGCCAGGCCCAGCTGGGAGCAGTGTCCCCCGGGAATGGAGGCCCTCCAGATGTGGGGTTACACACAGTGCTCTTAAAGGGCTTCTCTCTAGGTGCTGGGGTGAGGAGGGCGGGTCTTGCAAGTTTAGTGCTTGCACAGGAGCACACTGGAGCACACACACACTCAGAAGAGCAATGGTGCCAGAGTGTGGGTGCAGAGAGCCCATGGGCACCGCCCAGCCTAAACCGTCTCAGAGCACAGGGCATACTGGAGCGCGCGCACACACACACTAGTAGCGTCTGAGCAGGCCTCCTGGATAGTTTACACATTCACATGTTTTACAATGGCCGTGAACACAAGACACACACCCAGGGTGCCTGGTAAGCCCTCCCCAAACTGTGTCTGCCACCCGGCTCTGTGCCAGTCCTCTGTGAGGTCACAGGTTCCCAGGGCCTCTCTGAAATACAGTGGCAACCATACTTTGGTAAAAACTGCTATGTGAGTTTTAACCCTTCTAGTTTGGCCCCTGCATCTGATTAAAACACAGGGTACTTACCTCAGCTTCCAGGTGGAGACCTGGAGGCTAAGGCAATTTTCCCTGGCCTGGGACCAGGAGCACAGGAGATTGATTGCCACTGGCTCAGTGGCTTCAGGGATAGAAACTGTAGATAACCTTTAGAGTCCAACCACTGAGCTCTGCTTCTGTGTTATCGCTATGGCAAGATAGGGCCACATTCCAATGTCCAGCAGGCTGTGACTGGGAACCCACCCTGCAGGCTGACCCCCGTCTTTAGAATTCAGTCTTTAGGATTTAGGAACAACAGGAAAATTCTTGCGGTTTAAACCTTTAAAAGGAATTGCCTACCCCTGAAACAGGGCAGTCATTTGGAGTCCACCTGCGTGTGGTGCTCTTGCGGCTGTCCTGGCCAGTTCAGTAAATCCTTGCCTGCTTTTTTTAAATTAATTAATCAGCCTCCGGTGGTCTTATTTTGAACCCAGGATTCGACCCCACAACACTCTCCCCTCCGCACCCTCAGACACAGTCAGGGGTCAAAGGGACACCTGTTGGAGGGACAGGCAGGGTGTGTGTGGTGGGTGGGGCTGGAAGGTGAGCGCCCACAGCCACCCACAACCAGCAGCTCCGCGGGAATTCCAGGATCCTGGGCTCCCCGGCCCCATCCGCTAGCTCGGCGCCCGCGGAAGGAGAGGGGGATCCCCTAGTGGGACCCGGAGCCCGTGGGCCCTGAGCCCCGGCGTCTCCCTCCCGGGGCCGGAGGCTTTCCTCCCTCCCCGGGACACCGGCTTCTAACTAGCCGCGACCCTCGGGCCGGTGGGGGGCAGGGGCTGAGGGAGGGCACCCTTCTTACCTGGAAGACTTGGCCGTGACTTGGGGCGGACGGGCAGGGGGTTAATTCCCTTCCGCCGCCGCGGGTAAGCCTCCCTGTTGAGTTTCGGGGAAAGTGGGGTGCTGCAGGCGGCCCCCGCGTCCCAGACGACCGGCCCCTCCTCCTAAGGCCCCAACTCCGCGCGCCGACTTCTGCCGAGTCCGCCGCGTTCCCCAGGCCCCGGCGGTCCGGGTCCGGGGAGCCTGCGGGGCCCTGCGGGCGGGCGCCGGGCAGCCCGAGAGCGCGCCTCCCGCCGAGCCGCCGCGGGCGGGGGGTCGCCTCGGGCACCACGGCCCCGCCCGGCCCACGTGACCCGGCGCCCTCTGGCCACGCCCCCGCGGGCTCCCGGGTGGGATAGCAGCTGGCACGCCCCGCCCCCTAGCGGACGGGAACGCCCCCTTCTCCCGGCGCCCCCGTGAAACTGACGCCCCTAAGATCCACGGCGCCCGGCCCTGCGCGAGCCCCTCAGACTCTGATCCAAGTTTGGCCCGGCTTTCCGCCAGAAGCTGCCGGACTTCCGAGCGCGGATGGCCAGCCTCCTGCCTTTACGCTTATATAGAAGTAGTAATCCCGCTAGCCCAGTGGGATTACATATATAAGTAATAATATATGTAATATTACCTCTGCATGCCCGGCCCTGAGCGAGGAGCTGGGAGATGGAATGAGAACAAGCTGGCCTGGTTTCTGCTTACCCCTGATTGGGTGATAGACTGGGGAAAGGCAATTAAACATCTGTCTCTCATTGAAGGAAGAAAACCTGGGAGCAGAGGAGGCCTTTCTCCAAGGAGGAGAAGGAGTTAGTTCCGGGCAGAGAGGAAGCAAGTGTGCTCTGGGTGTGCAAAGACCCGGAGGCAGGACATATTGCTGGCGGTGATGGGGGGGAGGGGGGGACTGGTCACCCCAAGGCCAGTGGGATCTGCCACTGCAAGATTGTAAGCAGAAGAGTGACGGGACTGAGTTTGCTCTATGGTGAAAGGTTGGGGAAGTAGGAGGGCTGCTGAAAATGAGGGAACTATTTAGAAAAGAGAGAGAGAGAGAGAGAGAAAGAGAGGGCTTGGACTAAGTAGAATATGTAAAGAAATGGACCGATGCAAGTTACAACCTGGCAGTCGGGTCAAGCTAACTAGGTGACAGAGATGACATCTACCTGTGTTTCCCCGAAAATAAGACATCCTCCGAAAATAAGACCTGGTGCATGGAAAGATAAGACATCCCCTGAAAATAAGACCTAGCGCAACTTTGGGAGAAAAAATTAATATAAGACACTGTCTTATTTTTGGGGAAACAGGGTATTTAAACAAATATTAGCACCTACCCTAAGGGTTTTGAAGAAGATTCAACGAGACCCTTCCTGTGGAGTGTCTTAGTTGGTGTCTGGCACACAGCAGCCAGCTTGCCCAAGGCCATGCAGAGCCTCGCAGCCTCCTGGGGCCCACGAGTGCCATTCACCTTCCTGCTTTTCACAAATGTCTGTAGTAGAAGTGGCCCTTTCTGTATCTCTTCCAAAGGTTGTGGTTAAAGACTTAGTATCCAATAGGAGCCATGTGATCAACTGCATGTAGAAGTTGGTGCTCAGCTTCCTCTCGAGCTGGGAGAAAAGCTGGTGTAACTCCTGTGAAGCCCAGGCTGCATCTTCCTCTCCTCTGGAACCTTTGCCTCTCCTCCTATCCCTGCTGATGCTCTGCCCCATGATGGTAGGTGAAGGGGGAATACAGTGAGAGGTATGGGAGTCTCCACCGCCTTCTCTCAGCCCCGGGGGGACCCAGAAGAGCAATGGTGCCAGAGTGTGGGTGCAGAAAGCCCACGGGTCCCGCCCAGCCTACACGGTCTCATAGGGAACCATCAGAGCCATGGGGTGGATCTGATGCTTCAGGTACTCCTTGCATTTGTCCTGAACTTTGCAAAATTCCAAATAGTTTTTATCTTTTTTTTTTTTTTCCCCTCCTGAAACCCCTCCAGGAAAGTAGGGTGAGGATTAAACTCTGACCCTGAGGACAGCAACAACCACCCTTGACCAGCTCTTTGGGGCAGAGACCTCACTCTGCTGGACTTTGGGTCTCTAGCATCTGGCCCTGACCCAGCACTGGGTTCCTCGGAGTTCACAAATGTTTGCTTCCCATAAAATTCTCCCTTCTCACATGTACAATTCAGTAATGTGAAGGTTGTGCAACCATCACCAATTTCCAACACCATTCTTCCCTGCATTTCTGATTAAACAATCCGACCAGTCTAGAAAAATAGTGGCTAATATTTATTGAAAACAAACTGTCTTGGATAGCTTCTCAAAATTTACACGGGTCCCCCAAGGTAAGTTTCATTCATCTCCATTTCACAGGTGAGCAAGAGGAGGCTCACAGGCTAAGAATTTAGGCAAAGTCACAGCCAGTAAAGCCAAGGAGCTGGAGGCCCTTCACCCTAAAGCCAGGAAACCCCTCAGCAGGGCATCATTCCTAAGGGGGCCAGAGGTCACAGCAGGCAAAGGAGAGTCTCAACTGTGAGTCAGACGAGCACTGGAAATTTACTGGGCACATGCTGGCCCCGTGGGAGACAGAGAGCTACCGGGAGTGCCACCGCCTGCCCTGGGCCTGGGAAGGTCAAGGAAGAGTGATTGAAAGCTCTGGGCCTCTCCCAACAAATTCCAAAGGCAGGACTCGAACGAACGTCACAGCATAAACCTGAAGCCAGGAGAGAGGGGAGTGTACAGTGGCCCCACATGGGCTTGGGCCTGGCTTTATCAGAGCTGGTGGCCCATCTCCAAAGACCTACCCCAAACCATGGGTCAGGGAAGATGTTTGTCTCTCATTCAACACTTTGGCAACCAGAGGACACTTTGATCCTAGGGGAAAGGGGCTCGGTGCAACCCCTCGTGCCCTCTCCGAGGCAGCTCACCCCACTCAGCAGGGTCGGTAGCGCTGGAAGTGAACTGCAGGGCTCCTTGCCTAGCAAAGGACGTTTGTCTGAGTTTCCAGGGGCCAGAGGCAGTTGGAAGGGCCAGTTTGGCATGAGAATATCCTGGGAGAGCAAATGGCACTGAGAAAGCGGGACAGAAAAGGTACGTTTCTGTGCCTGGTGCTTCTTATTCCCAATTCAATTCTCAAAACAGAAAGGAGAAAAAAAATAATCTGATTCATACTAGTGTACAGTTCCTTCCACAGGTTCTGTTTATTCCCAAACCCCCGATACCTTATAATCCTCTCCCCACCTCCCGCCAAGATCCCTGAGACCCATTGTATGGGCTGGAAAATTAAGGCACTGGGGCAGAGTGCCCCTGTGGGTCATGGACACCACACATGGAGACCCAGGAGTCCTGACTTTCAGGGACTCTGTCTCCCCAAAGGTCTGGCCGAACAGGGAGATAGATGTCACTCTCCTTTCCCTCTGGCCTCCAGGGCAGAGCCTCTGTGCTGAGGTTTTTCTGAGGAAGCGCCAGTGCTCTGTCAGCTGCTGATTCTGACCGAGAGCAGAGGAGCCAGTGCCCATCAGCAGACGGGGAGACTCAAACCCAGGGCTGGGCCTGCCTTCCTGCCAACATGTCTGTCAGGACCAGGACTCCGTGCAGCTGTGCTGGGCCCCCCCAGGTGAGGAACAACAGAGCCGTGTCTACTGCCAGGGAGCAGAGGTGGATGAAGGCTGGAGAGAGTACCCCAAAAGGGTCTACTGGCTTGGAGGCCCACGAGGCTGAGGAGAAATCTGATCCAGACTCCAGAGCCACGCACGGCGGGTGCTGATGGGGGGACTGCCCAGCTGGGGTGCCGTGTCGGGATCCCGAGGCTGCCATCACCTGAGCACTTCCCATGGCACAGATGGTCGCTCTTCTCTCAGGAGGGTGACACGGGCTCAGAGCTTGCTCCGCGGGGCCTCTGCCAGGGGCCGCTGCAGCCGCCACACCACCCTCACTGGCTCGGCGGCGTGGTCCAGCTCTCGGAGGCCGCCCATGTCGCCCGTCTGGCGGTACCGCTGCAGGGCCGGCTGCAGCACCGTGATGGGAACGCTGAAGTTCAGGTGCGGGTAGGTGGCCCCGGTGTTATTGTCCCGGGTGTTGCTGGCGACGATCCCTGCGGAGGAGTCGGAGAGGAAAAGAGGGTGTGAGCCAGGACACAGACGGACGGGGAGGGAGGCCATCTCCACCTCGGAGGCCCTAGGCCTACGGTGGGCTTGACGCCCCCCAGAGCGACTGATACCAGGCTTTCTTTCAGGGATACCAACTCCACAAACCCTGGCCCCCCTCCTGCCTTAGCTTTCTCCACAACACTATCGGTATCTAACCCTATGTTTCTCTTATTCTGTTATCTTTCTCTCCAACTGGTGTGGGGTCCACAAGGGCAGGGCTTTTGTGTGTTGTTCACGCGGCCTCCCCAGACCTAGACAGTGCCCAGCACAGAGGCGGCGCTTATAAACAGTTGTTGAGTGGGTGAATAATGAATCAAACTCAGACACGTTTTGTCTGGCCTGCTTAGTGTGCGCATGTATTTTTTTCAGACAGTTTGAGACTTACAGAAGACTTGCCAAAATAGTACAAAGTTCCTGTATATCCTTCATCCAGCTTTCCTTTCTATTAATATCTTATGTCACCACAGTACATGACTAAGCCCTGGCCGGTTTGCTCAGTCGCGGGTTCAATTCCTGATCAAGGGCACATACCTCAGTGGTGGATTCCCCAGCCCAGGTAGGAATGTGTGCGGGAGGCAACCAATTGAGGGGTCTCTCTCATGTTGATGCTTCTCACTTTCTCTCCCTCTCTTCCCTTTGTTCCACTCTCTCTAGAAATCAATGGAAAAATTATCCTTGGGTGAGGATTAAAAGAAAACAAAACAAATCAAAACACTGATCAGAACCAACAATGAACCAATGCTATTAACTGAAGCACAGAACTCATTTGCCTAACCCTAAAATTTGGATTTCACCCATGTTTCCACTAATGTTCTCTTTCCGTTTTGGATGCAACCAGCATCCCACATAGCATTTAGCTGTTGCCTCTCCTACGTCCCCTCCAATCTGGGCCCGTTCCCCAGCCTTTCCTCGTCTTTTGTGGCCTTGACACTTTGAAGAATGCAGGCCAGCTATTTTGTAGAATGCCCCTCAATAAGAGTTTAATTGATGTCTCCTCAGGATCAGATTGGGGGTATACATTATTGAGAACACAGTAGAAGCAGTGCGTCCTCAGTGCTCTTGAAGAAGGTGTCTGACGTCTATAGGAATGACTTGATCACCAGGGTCCTCCCCTGTAGACTGTTTTCTCCTGTGTAAAGTGCTAATTGTTTTAGGATTAGGCAAATATCCTATTTCTATTTAAACTATCACCCACTGCTTTTAGCATCCACCGCAGACCCTGTCTGCAGCAATTCCTAGTGTGGTGAGCCAGCAGTGATTTCCCACTTCCCTCATTTATTCTGCATTTATTAATTGCAAATCTTCTGTAACAAGGAGCTGCTGCTTGTCTCTATTTGAAGATTTATCTGATTATTTATTTGGACACAAGGATGTTCATCCTTCCTTTGGGCAATCAGCCAACACTATTGCTATTTGTTTTGTTGCTCCAGTTGCTCCCACGGGAGCTCCTTCAAGTCGGCTCTTAGTTCTTTCATCATCGGACATGTCCCATCACTTGTTTTGTTAGCATTTCCTTCCTTTCCAGCACCACGAAGAGCCCATTTCCCTGTCCTGGTCCTGGTATCAACCAGCTCCCAGCTCCTTTCATTAGCGATCTGGTTCTCCGTGTGCTCACTGCAACTGGGCTGTCCCAGCGGAAAGAGCCAGGGTATAGATATTTACATTGACTACTGCATACATACCAGCACACATCCATGTTTCTTTCTGTATGCATTTGTCTGTGTGTGTATATATATATTTTTAAAGTCATGGTTGCTTGTCTTTACTTGCACAGTGCCATTGAAGAACTAAGTAAATCTATTCTGGGGAGAAAGAGCAACGTCTCTCGCGATGGCAGGAAGCAGTCAGAAATGAGAGAAGGCAGCACACGGGAACCCTGGGTGCTGGATACAGCTGGGCAGCTGGAGGTATTCATGTGGATTCATGTTGTCTTGTGTTTTTGTGTTTGTTTTAAGAAACAGACTTTTGTTAAAAACCTGAATTAGTTACCAAAAATTTAAAATCAAAAGACTTAACCATATATTTGGGGGGGGGGGGAGAAGGTTCACAGCTTCTTGTGAAAAACTGGAGGTCAGCCAGTGTTCGCTCACATTCCTTCGCGATGTGGCAACAATGTGCTCAGCCAGGCGGTGTTCACCCCAGCTCACCCTTGACCTTCCACTGCGTACCGCCTCCACGCTATTCAATCCATTGACCTTCCAGCCTCTGTAAGCTATGTAGTCTGTGACCCCTGAACTAGTCCAACTCCTGACCCTCACAGACTGCCTGAGGCTGGGGGATTTACCTGAGGCTGCACCGTGGCTCAGTGGCAGAGGAGGAACCAGAACCCACATGTCTTTCCTTGCAGCTCAGCATCCGTCCCTTTCTACCCTCGGGAGCAGAACAAGCCTGAGACCTTGACTAACTTCTTCCCAGGCACCATGGCACCACCTTCCCAGCCAGACAGGGGTGAACACCAAGCCCTCAGTAGCTGGGACTGAGGCTCTCGCAAGGGGAAGGGTGGGAGAGGGCGTAGGAGCTGCTTACCCAGGAGGTCCCCCGAGCAGGTAGAGAAGAGGGGCCCCCCACTGGAGCCACCATGCACGGCACATGTGGTCTGCAGCATCACCGGCGCGTCATCCACCTGCACCACAGCCGACAGGATGCCCGCGGTCACCGAGGGCCCGCATGCCTGGCCAAACACGCCGAAGCCCACCACGCTGACGGCCTCGCCTGCCAGAAAGGGAAGAAGGATGAAGCTGCAACGCCTCTTCCTCTGTCTGGGAGGACGCATCCTCCCCAACCCCAACCCTGCCCTCTCCAAAGTTCCCATCTGCCCTTGGAGTTTCTGCTCAGACACTCCTGCCTTCCGAGAGCCTCCTTATCCCCAGAGGAAGAGGCCGGGACCTGCGCTGAGCTCCCAGCACTACACCTGCTCAACCACTTCTCAGTGGCAGGCTGCTCCTCAGCCCCCCAGCCCCAGCTGGATTGGGTAATCACTTTTTGGAGTTCCTAAGACCTAGCTAGGCGCTCAGGAAATGTTTACAGAATTAACCTCCTCCTGAGAATAGTAAGCAGTCTCTTGGTTAAAAATAAAAAGTGGAGCCAAAACCAGTTTGACTCAGTGGATAGAGTGTCGGCTTGCGGACTGAAAGGTCCCAGGTTCGATTCGGGTCAAGGGCATGTACCTTGGTTGCAGGCACATCCCCAGTAGGGAGTGTGCAGGAGGCAGCTGATCGATGTTTCCCTCTCATCAATGTTTCTAACTCTCTATCCCTCTCTCTTCCTCTCTGTAAAAAAAAATCAATAAAATATATATTAAAAAATAATAAAAATAAAAAGTGGTGATGTGTTTGAATGCACAGGGCACGGGGATGAGTGCTTTACAGGCCACATCTCATCACCCAGGAGTAGGAAGGTGTCCATTTACACATGTGGAGACGAGGCAGAGAACATCACACTGCCTGTCCGAGGACGCAGGGCTAGTGAGTGGCGAGAGAGAGGCCAGCTGGGAGAGCTCGTGCCCTCTGCAGTTACATCACACTGCACGCACCAAGTCGGCCGCCAGGGGCAACCTCTGTGGCAGCATCACAAAGCCGCCAATCATGCCACTGCAGCCTTATGGGAGCAGCTCCTCTGACCAGCCTGCAGGTCCCACCTGCCTCCCAGCACCGTGGGCATGCTGGGCACAAGAAGGGAAATGTCCAAGAGCAAAAGCACTGTACCTAGCTGGGTGCCACCCTGAATTATTATTTCCAGCAGGAGAGGGAAGGGGGTTGGCCGGTGGGACTGGCAACCTGATCTGCAGGATTTGAGCACTGACTTTCCTTCCTAAGGTCCACCCGGAGCAGGGGGCCCCTCGGCCCTTTACCTTCGTAGAAATGCTCAGTGGGCACAGGCACAGGGACACCCTCCAGCTCTTCCTCCAGGCTCACCACCGCTATGTCATACGGAGATGTCTCCTGAGTGGCAAACACCACGCGTCCCCAGATCTTGGCACTCCTGGGAGCAAGGGAAACAAAAAGACAGGCTAGCGTTCCGACCCTTCAGCGCTGGGAGGAAGCAAATGGATGAGTGACAGTGGAAGTCATGGACTTGGGAGTCAAGAGATCTGGTGTCAGTCCTGAAACCTACCAGGCTGGCAACGCGGGCATGCCCTTTAACCGTCCCGTGGCATTATTTCCAAACAGCTTTACCAACTGCCAAGCTTCCTGCACGTCACCGTGATCACAAAGACCCAGCACCTCGCGAGCACTGTGGGCCGGGCCTAGTGTTCACACTCCATGGAGATCGTTCACTAAGTCCTCACAGAACCCCTGTGAACGAGGCGCTGATGTCACCTCCGTTTTCGGTGGTGCTTTTCAGACCCAGAGAGGCTGAGGAACGTTCCCAAGATCACATAATGCGTGAGTGGTAGGGGCCAGAGCAAACGTGCCCAGCTTCTTCCTTCGCTGCCTCATAAAAAGGGATAATCCTGTCCACGGGCGGGGCAGGCCTGACAGGATTTCAACCCTCTGGGTCCTTGTTTACATAAGTGCTAGCATGTCTACAGCATTTTCTGGGCCAAGGCTGCACATGTCACCTCAAGGCGAGGCAGCTTAGACAGCGTCCTGCTGCACCCTGCAGAGGCTGCTTCCAGCAGACCTGGTGGTTTTCTTAGGAGCAATCGTGGGGTGGGGTGGGGTGGGGTGGGGTATCTGGGACCACACCGGCAGGGAAATTCCCATCAGTCATGGTTGTCCGGAAGGCCACCGGCAGCAAAGCCAGGCTGGGTTCATCTCGGCAATTCAGTAGGATTTTGAAAGGCTGCATTGAGCCAGGTACCAGAACATCAGGCACTAACACCAAGGTGCCATCCTGCTTTGTTTTGGCTTAAGTTAAGCACCTGAAAACTACAGAGGAAAGAGGAAGAACTTGTACTAGAAAATCAAGCCAGGAAGCCAAGACCAGTGTCCCCACTGTCAGAGCAAGTGCAAGGAGGGCAAGTGCTTTTCCCTGCAGAGGGAACAAATGACTGTCTAAATCCCAACCTGACCCTAGATGGTTTGACCCAGTGGATACAGCCTCAGCCTGTGGACTGAAGGGTCCCAGGTTAGATTCAGGTGAAGGGCACATGCCTGGGCTGTGGGCTCAATCCCCTAGGAGGAGGCAGCTGATCCATGATTCTCTCATCGTGGATGTTTCTATCTCTCTCTCCCTCTTCCTTCCTCTCTGAAATCAATAAAAATATATTTTTAAAAATAAAATAAATTCCCAACCTGGCTGCCCGCCAGGATCACCTAAAGATTATGCAAAACCTATCGGCCTAGCCCCCCTTGCTCATTCTGATTAGGTGGATGGCCACATCTATCATTTGATCCAGATGGGAAGCTCTGGTTAAGATCTACAAGACAAATTAAATAGGATGAACAGGTCCAACCATTATCCTAGGAGCACAGCATCCTGAGCCCTGAGGCTTTACCCACCACTACCAGGGAGATGGGGACAGCGTCAGGAAGCCTCCAGTCACGGGCCTAGTGGTGTGTGAGTGCAGAGAAGTTGCTCAGAAGGAAGTCAGACTGGAAGAAGAAGGCCCAAGATGCCCAGGCAGGGATGCAGGTGCAGCCTATCGTTCCCAAATCTGGAGTTGCTTGGCATCTTGCCCAAGCCTCACCCAGCCCCTGCCAGGAGGCCCAGCACCCTCAACACTGAAGTTCTGGGTGCCCGAATCACCTGCGTGATGCCAAAAGGCCTCCACAACTCCAAAGATGAAGACCTGAGACTTAAGATTTTAGACCCGGTGAAGGGGGTAGAGTGGGAGCACCCCGGCGGGCCTTACTTGGGGGTGGTGGGGCGCACCAGGACTCTGGCCGCCTCGCAGGGGGCCACGTGCCGGCAAGTCACCACGAGGCGGGGCGCCACGACCACTCCGGAGCCCCAGACGGTGCCACACTCCACCAGCACGGCGGCGGCTGCCCACGGGGGCCCAGGGTCTCGGAGGGGCAGGCCCCACGGGGCGCCCAGCTCGGGCGGCAGGAGGGCGGCCAGGGTCGCGGCATCCTCGCGGCGCAGGCGGGCGAGCCCGGCGCGGGCGGCGCGGAGCAGGGGCGCGGCCGCGCACAGCAGCGTGAGGCCCACCCACTCGCGGGCCTTCCAGCAGAGGGGCGCCGCCACCAGCGCCACCAGGGCGCCCGCGGGCCGCGCCGCGAACACGCCGCCGCCCTCGGTGCCGGGCAGGCAGCGCGCGTCGGTGAGCAGCAGCGGGCCCGCCGCGTTGCTGAGGACGCCGCGGCTGAGCGTGTTGAGGAAGATGTCGGGGCAGAAGGCCCCGAACGGGGAGCCGCAGGCCAGCAGCGACGCGCCCTTGGGCACGGCCCCGGGCGGCGCCACGGCCAGCGCCGTCCCGCGCCCGTCCGCCGCCTCCTCTTCCTCCTCGGGGTCGAGCCTCACGCGCAGCAGCGCGAACCAGCCCAGCGCCCGCAGCTGGTCCTCCTCCTCGTCCTCCGACACCTCCTCGTCCGGCGCGGCGCTCGCGAAGCGCCACTGCTCGGCCGGCTCGCCCCCGAAGAGGCGCGCGAAGTGGGCCCGGAAGGCCGGGCAGCTCAGCAGCAGCAGCAGCTCGGCGGGGCGCGGGGGCCGCAGGGGCTGCCCGTGGGGCCGGGCCAGCGGGCCGGGCTCCGGGCCCGCGCACTGGGGCGTGCACAGCCCGGGGCGGCCCCGGGGCTCCGCGCGACCCGCGGGACTCGCGGCCGTTGGGCTCCACTGCACGTGCAGGCGCAGGTCGTCGCTGCAACTGTCGCCGGGCAGGAAGACGGCGCCCGGCGCCGTCAGCGCCCCGCTGCCGGCCCGCAGGAAGGGGGTGAAGATGCCCCCGTGGCACAGCACCAGGCCCGGGCTGCGGCTCAGGATCACCCCGCTGCAGCTCCAGGAGTCCGCCTCGGGCTGCCCGGCCCGGGAGGCGCTCACCACGCAGCCCGCCTGCTCGGCTGCCCTCATGGCGGGCCCCCACTGTCGCCCCATGGCTCAGGGACGGTGCGCCCCGGCTTCCCGGAGAACCGGGGAGCCAGCGAGAACCCCGACCGGCACCTGCGGACCCCACACAGCGCCGCCTAGAGCTGGAAGCGAGCGGCGCAAACTCTGACTCCGGCCTTCCGCGTCCGGCGCGATTGGCTGAGCCCTATCGGCCCCGGGATTGGCTGAGCCCTACGGACCCCGGGATTGGCTGGAGCCGGGGCCAAGCCCTGATTGGCTGACGAGGCCGACCTCCCCTGGCTCCTCCCCTGCTGGTCGTGCCACCAGTGCGGCATAGGGGGCGCAGCAGTCCCAAGGATGAGTCCCACCACGAGAGACTGCGGGAGGGGCAGGAGGCGGGTCCCTCGGAACCTTAGTCTGGTCTCTGTTCGTTGGGTTTCAGGAAAGGGAAGAGAAATGAGCGCTGACGTGGCTAGATTTTCCTAAGCCATGACAGCACCTGTCAGCATCTGCCTTATTACCCCCCTTAGTATATGGGGATAATAAGGCAAAGAAATCCTAGGCCATTTCAAAATTTTAAATTTTTTGTTACGTAAACCATATAGCAATCCACTAGGGGCGTGGATCGCACAATATTGCACCTCGGGTCTTTTACCACTGAACCACACTGGCTGGGCACATCTTGGGTCTTTTGATGCCAAAGCCCAACGCTACAAATCCCATGAAAACTGAATTTGCTTTACAAATAAAAGTGCCCTTTAAAATGGACTATGAACACTGGTTGAAGTAAAACATAATTTTATAAGCCTATATTTTACAGTATGCACATTTCACATAATAACCCTCTGGAATTTATCTAGGTCAGGGGCCAAATGCCATTTCTGTAAGGAGCCAGAGTGAAGTTCAGTTTTTGTGGGCCGTACATTGCTTCGAATACTCAACTCTGCAGTCCTAACATGCAAAACCCAACAAAACTTTATGGTCACTAAATTTGAATTTCATATAATTTTCATGTCACAAAATAACATTCTTTTTTTCCTTCACAGACCAAAAATAGGCAGAAAGCCAGATTTAACCCAGGGGGCAGTTTGTCATTTTTTATCTAAGCCAGTGGTCGGCAAACTCATTAGTCAACAGAGCCAAATAGCAATAGTACAACAACTGAAATTTCTTTTGAGAGCCAAATTTTTTAAACTTAAACTTCTTCTAACGCCACTTCTTCAAAACAGACTTGCCCAGGCTGTGGTATTTTGTGGAAGAGCCACACTCAAGGGGCCAAAGAGCCACATGTAGCTCGCGAGCTGCAGTTTGCCGACCACGGACCTACGCAAACACAAATATCCCTTCTTTTCCAAAAAAATATCTTTGAGGATAAGGAACATGAATAAGGACGTTTGTGGGGAAAGGGTTCAGAATATCCCCAAAGCAGCCACATGCTAGACATTTATCACCATTATCTCTAAAATACACATTTTAATACGTTTATTTTAGGATATATTTGTTAGCATTAATGAAAAATATTCAATTACTAAACTACTACATTTCTGTCTCAATTTTTTTTTAATAAAATAGCACAGGGTAATGCTCAGTGTTCCCAGTAACTGTTGGAGAACAGGAAACGATGATCCATTTGAGTATAAGGCAGGATTGCAATTAGCAGTCTTACCATAGCACACACTAGTTTTCTTTTTTGGTTCTGTGACACACATGCTTGATTACAACAAAATCTCTCAGTTGTCCCAACTTCCTAGCAATTATGAGTTTCTCTCTCGTCCAGTGATTCTCTAACGACTCTCAAGCCTCCAGTATGTTCTGTCAGGTTTTTCTGTTGATGGCACATCACAGTATAAAGTCCCAAGTCACAGCCAACAACCAAGGTGAGACCCCTTGAGTATTGGGCTCATTGACTCAGCCCTTTAATTCTCTGGTTCCATTCCTTCTTAAAAAACACAAATGCATATGAACATAGAACCCATGGCCTCCTATCATAAACATGGACATTAGATTCAATCACAGGATGCCTCCAATTTGAATACATACTTAGTCAAAAAGAACCTGTTAAGCCCGAATGTTGACCTATGAACCAGGAGGTCATGGTCAGATTCCCAGTCAGGGCACATGCCTGAGTTGCGGGATCCATCCTGTGTGGGGCATGCAGGAGGCAGCCAATCTCCTCATTGATGTTTCTCTCTCCCTCTCCCTTCCTGAAATCAATATATTTTTTTTAAAAAAGAACCTGTTGCATTTTGTTCCCATTATATTCATGCTGGTACTTTAGTTTTAGAATCTCATTTGGGATTTTCTATAAGTAGGTCTCCCTACAAGCCTAGTAAATGCACAAGGTTTCTTTTTTCTATTTTGCCAAATGTTGCATTTAACTGGATCTCTCCAATTTTGTAGAAAAATGATGAAACAGAGCTAAAGATGAATGCAGTCCTTACTAGCATATTAATACAAGATTTTGTTCAAGTCTTCCCTATTCTCTCACAGAGATTACCACCAATCCTGGGACCACTGCGTGTTCTAAGGCTCTCAAACAGTACTAAATTCATTATTTCTAGCTGAATGGATAAATTGGCTTAGCCTTTTTTTCTCCCATGGTAACAAAATTTAAGTCTCATATCCATTGTATATATTTCTTCCCACAAGTAGGAAAGAACTTTTGCCTTCCCCAGCACAAATCTTGTGATATGTTCAAACTCAAAATCATTGCAAAAAAAAGGCAAGACACCAAGTTTGTTTTAACTTTTTATTAAAATGCTTAGGATACAGACTGACTTTCTTTTGTAAATGACTGCTTTACTTTTCCTGAAATAGGACCTCTATGCACTCTGATAAAACAGAGTGAAAAGTCTCAATGCATGGGAGTTCCTGCTCAAAGTTCAGATCCTCACTGTCAAAGCCAAGCTGCTTCTTTCTGCTGTTTCTACAGGAACAGTGTTGTACGTGGGGCAACAGACAGATGGGTGCCATTTGGTTTTCAACCCCTCTTTCTCCAGTGGCCAACATAAGCCACTTTCACCAAGAGCTGCCCTGCGCAGAATCCATCATTTTCTAGCTTGCCACAAAGTGAGTACGGGGAAAGAGGGGAAAAGAGAAAAACAGGAAAACTAACACTGCAGTGATCAGACTCTCTTATCTCTGGATGGAGAAGGATATATTACCTTTAGCCAAAGTAAATTTAAAAAGTATGCAAGTTAATTCACCATTAGCTAAATTTGTTCACTTAAGGCTTTAACCCCTTTCCAAACCAGCAACTGTCTTAATCCAGCTATGCTTGCTCATAAATAGTCATATTCATTCCAGACTCATACTCCACTGAGCCTCCGCATTTGGTACCTGGCAGTGAAAAAGTACGCTATCCTAATAGTACTGAAGATATCGTTAACAATGAGAAATCCAACTAAAGAACAATACTCTCTTACCCCAAAAATATGTTTTCCACACTTTCCCTACCTTCTTATTATAAGCAAGAATCCACTGAATTCAATCATCTGCGTATCGAAACTACCTCTAATTTTTCATTAAAGAAAAAATGAAGATATTTTCCTACCTTAAGACCACCTCCCATCCTGTCTTTTAATGCAAAGATAGAAAATTGGTGAGGATCAAGAAAATCCCATTTCACCCATGGCATTAAGAAAATGGAAAGCTATCAACACCATCCTCATCACTCTGCTGGGGATGTGGCGGCTTCTGTATGACAATAAGTGATGCTGGCTCAGAAGGGAAAGCCTTACACGAAGTTCTTGAATTAAGAGTTCCCCCAGCTTATTTCTGGAATGGAGAAAGGCAATGCCATAAAAACAAAATTCTGGAAAAGATGTTAACCTTTAAACATCAAAACAATTGATAACTAATTTAAAAGAGAAAAAAAAAAAAAAGCTCATGAAAAGTCCAAAGAGACCAAATGCTGCAAGTAGAAAATTTATAGTCCACCAAGTAAATCCCTCCCAGATTCAACCACATGCTACATTACCAGATTTTTAAGTTCTCAAATCACAGATTTAAGAGCCCTTAAGCTGTTACCTGTGTCCTTGTGTAACTCTATTTGGAAAAATCCCCCTAAAATCTGTGCAAAAGTAATTGACACACGTGCAGTACAGACAACATAAGAGATGGTCTCAACTCTATTCTGAGGCAAAAGTCATTTTTCTATAACTGAAAAGAAAAGTGCTACAAAGAGAAATGAAACCACAATTCAAAGCAGAGACTGGCTGACATCTGTATCTTTACAGGTAATGATAATAACAATGACCCGCTGAATGATGACCTCGGCTGCAGTGAACACTGAGCTGTGCACTCCGTGAGGAGGAACAGCCCCAGCTGGCCACGGTGGGAACCTACAGCAACTGCGAGGCCAGGCCTGCCCCTTTCCGGTTCTCTGTGCCCAAGGTGATGCCACCTACTCCAGGCAGTTAGGCAGGGGAGCTTCTCCCACCAACTGCTAACTCAACAGCAGTGAGTTCACACCTGACTGAGCTCTGGCCACCAACATGTACCTCTGAATAATTTTATGAAGTATCTATATGCTATTCACTAGGTTTAAAAAAAAAAAAAAAAAAAAAGGAATAGAAAACTCTGGACCAAGTAAATTGTAAACTCAAAAAGTTAGAAGGGAAACCAATTACATAAACAACACTTTCTTTAAAAAATAGAATTGCTTTCTTTTGAAATCAACCTCAGTGGTGAGACGTGTTTTTCTGTTCAGGTGCCCCAGGATGGCGCACAGCTTTTCCCGGCAAATCCTGCCAGCTTCCAAGTCCTGGGATGCTGACTGCACCAGCACATGGAGCAGCGTGACCTCCCGACAGTGTGAAGAGCACATGTCACCACTGGGAGAAGAGAGAGCTGACAGACTCTTGGCTTCTCGACGCCAGGCATGGTTGTGGAGAGCTTTCCTTGTCTATTAGAAAAGTTCATGAGGAAGCTGTGAATAGGATCAGTCCAGAGAAGTAAAACTCTTTTATTTTCACTGTCCAAACATCAGTCAATGTACTGGGAGAGCCAGCGGAAGCCCTCGCCGTAGCCTTGCCTCTTGAGCACAC